TGTATATATATATATATATATATATAGATGATGCATTTCTCATATATACTATGTATATATATATATATATATATATAGATGATGAAGCAACTTTAAAAAGAACTCAAGAAGAATCACAAAACACTGTTACATTTTTTAAAAAGCTTTACTTTTGCATTGCATTACTTTATAATGTCGCTTAACTATTGTTTTAAACATGTTTAAAATAAACTTGCATTGATATAAACCAATTCTTGTTAATGCAACCTCTTGATCTCATTCTCACCTGACAGTAACCAGCGATTTCAGTGGCATCTGAAACTTAATGTCCTCTATTAGAATATAATGTTTGTGAGTTTTACTTGCAGTCATAAAAAAAAGTCTCGAGGGGTTTATGGTTTCAGTAAAGTTACTATCAAGTCTCTGAAAAATACGGACTTTACAAAGCAAAAAAGCACCAAATTATACACATGATCATCAAATGACTCGAGAAGTGCATCAAGATCTGAGAGTGTATAAATATTTCAGCCTGTAATCAAAAGAAAACATGTAATAATTTTAGGACCATTAAGATTATTTAGCATTATTTTCATGATAATTTAAGCACATATGCCATCAGCCCTATTTTCTTTATGCGTTGGTACGTCACTGATTCTCTTTCTTCATAGGTTTTCGCTTGCTCTCTTTCGCTGGTTTCTTCGGTTTCTTCATCTTCTCTATGTCCTCCTCCTCTTCTTCAACCTTCTTCTTGACTTTCATCTCTTTCTCTTTTGTCAGTTTCTCTTTAGTCTCATCTACTTCGTGTCTTCTGCGCTCGGTGAATTTTGTCTCTCTTTTCTTCAGGAGCCTGGGGTCCGGAAGGGCCCGGTGCCTGAGGCCCCTGGAAACTCTCCCGCGAGTCGCTCTCTTAGATTTGCCTTCGTCATCATCATCATCAATCCACCAGAAAAATGTTTCCCATAAGGAAGTGTCTGGCTAAGAGTATTAATTCAGATGTAAATGATTACTATTTTTTAGTGCTGTCAAATGATTAATCGCGATTAATCGCATCCAAAATAAAAGTTTTTGTTTACATAATATATGAGTGTGTACTGTGTATATTTATTATGTATATATAAATACGCACACATACAGTATATATTTTGAAAATATTTACATGTATATACATTTATATATTATATTAATAGATATAGCATATTTTTCTTAAATATATGCATGCATGTATTTGTATTTATTTATACATAATAAATATACACAGTACACACTCATATATTATGTAAACAAAAACTTTTATTTTGGATGCGATTAATCGCGATTAATCATTTGACAGCACTACTTTTACATACAGATGTGTTTAATAACATGTTTTTTTGTGCCTAAATCTGTACAGTATTTCCATAATGTCCCTGTGGATAATAATTATGCATGGCTCATTAAATAAATAAAATTTAATATGAAATATTGATTTGAATTGAATTATTTAAATCATTTTATCTGTATATTATCGTGAAGCTTCCGCCGCTAAGAAAAAAAGTCCATCGCAATGTATAAAACAAGACAAAAACAGCAACAACATTCCAGTAATATTAATACGGCGTATTCTGAATTCATTTAGCTACATTATTAAATAACTGAGACGCAAGTATGTCGCTAATAATTAATTGTGTGAAAGAAAAAAAGCGGGAGTTCGCGGAGGGATACGAGACGCATGAAAGTAGCGCCAGTTATCCGGTTGGCCAATCAGAAGCAGTTTAAACTTGAGCGGCGCGTTTTCATGTGCGAGCGCAACGGTCAAAAACGTCCGTCTTGCGTGTCTTTACATAGAAAAACAACGCTTTACTTGCAAAAGCAATATCTTTACCTTCATAGATCTTGTGTTTGTTTTTGTTCTCACCTCATGTGGTGTTATTTTCCCTCTTTTAATCAGAGTATGTCTCTCGTTTAGTGCCATGAGCTCTTCACTGACGTCTTTGCGGCCTCTGACGGCTTCTGCATGAGGAGAAAACATCTATCAGTCATTTTATGGTTTGTTGTTTTCAGATGTTATTTGACATGAGTACACTTGCCGTGTATTCTCTGTAAAACGGAGCTCAGCAGAAGGATGGTTATGGCTGCGATCAGACACCTGTTCAGCGTCACACCTTCCCACGGCGTCTCGATCTGCGTCAGATTCTGGATGGAGAGCGCTTTGCGTAACGACGCTGCTGGACAGGTGATAAAACACAGGTGAGTCGTTCAACTGTTCCACGTTTCAATCTATAAATGTAGGTTTAGACCAAGCGGCAACCTCCCGCTCTCTCTCGTGAAGCCAACACGGAAGTGACTTAAACTGTAATTCATCAACTGGCCGCTAGAGGCTGGCAGCAAAAGGGAGTCAATCCCATAGACTCCCCATGTTAAAATGCCCAACTTTACATCAGAAAAAAACATGTTTACAGCCTGGTTCAAAAAATTATTTTGGTCTATATAGCTAATTTTGCCCTTCATGACAACTGTGAGGGGGTGAATTTTTTTATAACTCATCCGTTTAAATTATATTAAGCCTTAAGGGGAGACACTGCAGGCAAAAGCACTGTTTTTTCATTCACCTGTCAATTTTGAGATTTTGGCCTTTTTGGCTTTTCATAAAGTGCTTTTTCAGACTAGTGGAAAGAAAACATCCAAAAGACACTGTTAAGCGTTTCTTTTATAGCACTTTATCTATTTGTGTCAATAGATTTAAATTACACTATATTTTTAAAGGCCGTTTTCTCAAAATTAGTTTTTTCTCCTACACTGAGCCATAAATCTCCATTTCAGCAGCACTTACACACACCAAACTTTACATTTTTATTTAAAGCAAAGGTTTTTACAGAGGGATTTGTTCATATATAATTTGCTTGATTATATACAACATTTTATTTCCCCCAAAATTTTGAAATTATATTGTTTTCTGGCTGTTCAAAGTATTTTCTGAATTATGGAGTGACAAAAAGAGATACCCAAAATTCCCTCTGTAAAAACATTTGTCTCTAATATGTAAAAAAAATAAATAAACAAGAATTTTGAAACGGACTTTCATTAGCGCATATTTAATTAAATAATGCCTCATTTGCATATTTAAACATAACATTTTACAAAACTTGTAATACAAAAAATGTTTGCAATTATCAATGTAATCAATCAACTGGGTACGTAAGGTGATAATTAGTAGTTAATTGTTTTACCCTATTCACCTGCAGTGTCTCGCCTTAAAGTTCTGCATAATTAAGGGCGTGGCCACTTGAGTGACAGGTGGATTGCCGCTGCTGACACTGCTGTCGAGCTAGGTGGGCGTGGCTTCAGCAACTAGCTCCCGCCTTTTTGCCCATTTTCGATTATCCGGGAGTGACACGCACTTTGAGCTTCAAAAACGCTCTTCAGAAAACTACGGGTGATGTCACGGACATTACGTCGATATTTTTATACAGTCTATGGTTTAGACGGTGATAGAAGGAACAACAACACTTAAATGCGTTTGCGTTCCCCCGATAAACTATTACGTTCCAACAAGAAACTTTGGGTTGGCGCGATAACAACCTTTTCGTTCGCTTTCGAAACGTTTGTGTTCTCTCGCAATCACTATTACATTACGATAAATTTTTTGTTCACTTTCAAAACGTTCTGACGCGAAATTTTTCATTGACTTTCAAAACTTTTGTGTTCTTTATTACGTTCCGGCGAGAAATGTTGCGTTCATTTTTAAAACATTTGTGTTTCAAAAAATTATTGCTTTACCGGCGAGAAACTTTGCGTGAGCTTGCAAAATCACTGGAAATATGTTTCTCCCACATCATATTATTTCCATCACAAAAAGATTTGTGAATGAAAAAAAAATGGCATGGGAAAAAATCATATTTCAATGCTTTTGCGTTCTTTCGCAAACCCACAGGAATAAAGTTTTTTTTACCCCTCCCATTGCACTTTCTTTATTTGTTTATTTATTTTTTTATTTTTTTACATGAGCATGTCCCTTTATTACAAACACTGATCTTCATATCCTTTAATTATCAGACTTACTAAAAAGTTAAATAAAAAATTTAATAAATCATAAAATAATATTTAACTAAATAAAATAATTAAAATTAAATTTGATTTGACGCATCTTCAAGTATAGTTAGTATGAAAAAATAGAAACTAAATATTTTCCAAATAATATTTTACGCTTATTTTTGTTATTTTTTTTCACTGTATAAATTTGATCTTTGTACATAAAACATATAGATGTCTTTTAACTTTTAGGATAGGGCTTCAGATGGAAATTCAATTGAATTAAATAGAATTCAGGATGAAGAAGCTATTATAATTTGGTTTGCATCATCATAACATCACTGACATCGTCTGATGTGGTTTAGTATACACAGTTACTGCTGGGAATTACATTAACTTAATATTTTCCAGGATGTTTTTAGTCGTGAGATGTCTTGGATTTGATTGACCCAAGTGTTTTGCATGGGACATACTGGCGCTGGAGACCGGATGTTCCCGTGGAGTCATCTTCGGGACCTGCTGGACGATTGGAGCTTCCTGCAGGACACAGAAGGTTTATTAATGGAACGGTAAATGTGTGTATTAGAGCTCATGTTCAGATGGTTTGCCTGCGTGTGATGCTTTAAACAGGCCGTGAATCTGCAGCTGTCATGTGATCTCAGACTCACCTCTCGCACCCTCCTCTGAGCATACATCTCTGTAAACAACAACAACAACAACAGCACATCAGACGCGCGTCACAAACAGCTCACTGGGGAATCAATGCATCCTCAGTCATTTTAATGATTACAAATGCTAGTTAACCTGATGATATGTGACCTTTAATCAGTAAAAATACATTAGATTTCACCAACAGTGCAGGTGATGTTGTAAAGTGCAAAACTATAAAAGTGTAAGAATGAATTGCCTTACTGTAAAAACCTACATGCAGCAAGAAATTGCATGCATTTTTACAGAAATATCGTCAAAGTTATGTGTTTTATATTTTTAATGGTCACATTATAATTTATAGCTTTAGAGAACTTCTTTAGAGCTCAAGTGGAACTTTCAAGTGGATTCTAATGAAAAGATTTTTAGGGATTAGATTTAGTTTTAGATTTATCAAAAATAAATGTAAAAAAGATTCAAATAATTTTTGGTTCTTATGTGCTGTTTTATATGTAGTTTATTCATTTATTTATTTATTTACATTTTAAATTTTTCACTTGTTTCTCACCGGGTTATTATCATTAACTAAAACCGAATCTAAAATTAAAACCATTAAAACCATTTTAGTTTTCTTGAGATAAAATAAATGTTAACTGAAATAAAATATAGTTGCCAAGGCCACATTTCTCACTTTTAGTTTACCTCGATGTAGTAAAATAACTAAAACTGAAATAAAAAATCACTAAAAACTGTACAGACATATGGAAAAAAAACTAAAACTAATACAAATTAAAAACTAAATTAGTACAATTTTAACATTTAAAATGTAAAAGCTAAAAATAAAAAACTGATTAAAAATATGAATGCAGACTATAATAGTATTTCAATAATACTGTGGTGTCTTGTCACTAAAATATAATATAAATGCTAGTTAACCTGTTTTATTGGTTAACTTTAAGCAGTAAAAATAATGTTAGATTTAACAAACAATGCAATACTATAAAAAAAAGAAAATAGTAATTGCCTTATTTACGGTAAAGACCTATGTACAATATTAAACATGCATGCACTTTTACAGTAAAATTATAAAAACTAATGTGACTTGCAGTTTTTACTTTCAAACACACATAGTCCATTGCTTTAATAAAGAGAGCTGTTGTGCGTTCGTGCTGTGTTTGGTGTTCGGTGTCATGTTGCTCGTGTCTGTCAAGGTTATTGTGATTTATTATTAGACTCGCTGTTCACTTTAACACCACAAATAGTGTGGATGCTTTCAGCCCTGATCTTAATTTAGAAAGAGCACTTTGTTTCCAAGACATCTTGACTCCTGAGGCTTTTATATTCATGTTTGAAACAGAAGTACAGGGTAGAAACATGCTTACAAATCCACAAATCACTGCTCTGCTTGTTTGTGTTTGCTCAGCGAGATTATTTGAGCTTTTTTTTTGTACCTGCTCTGCCTTCTGTTCGTGTTTGTCTGACAGGTTTCTGAGGAGGAACCTCTTGCAGTGGTTTACCAAGCTCTTCCTCAAATGTCTCAAAGGTGCTTTCGTCCATCGCTCACCTGAGAAACAAGGAGAATTTGTAAAGCTGGTGGTCACATAGATCTGTAAAGAAATCCAGGTGTGTGCTGAAACTTCTCAAACAGCAGAGGTACATATTGCAAGCCGCGCAGACAGGCAGAAAGTTATAAATACTTGATCCTTTCAGAGCTTCGACACATTCACATTAAACATCTCCGACAATAATGAAGGAAATGAAAATACGTTGTTGCAGTTCAGTTTACATTATGTCTTGTAATTGACTTGCAGTGTTTTAAACATAAGTAATCAAATGCAACAATGTATTTCCATGTTTAAGCTTCATGCATTATGAGAACATTTCTAGGGGTAAGTATTTTAGAACATGGCATAATTTTTTTTTTAAATCCTCCGACCTGTAAATTATAATTTTTACATTAATATTTTTGTTTTAAAATATTAAAATTTTAAATTTGGATTTACAGGTGATTTACAGATATTTTAGAGCACACCATAATTGTAAAAATATGTAAAATCACAATTTTTTAAATTTTAAAATTGTGATTTACAGGCCGTGGAAAAATTTCAGATGAAATATTTTAGAACACCGCATAATGTTAAAAAGCTTTCCAGGCCTGTAAATCACAATTTACAATTTTAAATATTTTAAAACAAAAGATTTAAATTTTAAAATTGGCCTGGAATTTAAAAAAAAAAATCATGCTGTATTCTAAAATATTTCATCAGATAGGAATCAATCTCATGAGAGCTACATATTTCTAGAATGATTTTTTTAAATTCAGCAGTCACAAACAGCAGAAAAATTCATTTTCATTCGTTAGTCAAAGAGTGTAGAAACCCTGTGAATCTAAGAACCAGTTTATTAATTAGTCAAGTCATTTTGTGTCAAAAAACACTGCAAGTTACTTTGTTATATCCTTAGCATTATGCAAATGATCTGTATCTCACAGTGTCCAAACGATAACAGTCCCTAAATATCCACAGAGTCCATTCACACAGCAGTGAGAATCACACACACATCAGAAGCACAAACGCCTCATCCACTGGACGTCACCTTTGACCGCGGCTTACCTGCATGAAGGTGAGCAGGAGACCCGAGGAGGAGCAGACGGAGAGGACGGCGGTGTGAGAGCACTGGAGCATGTGTAGGTCACACACTC